AGCACAAGGTCAGGGAATTCAGCTCAGCTCAACCCTGACCAGTCGGGAAGCGGCTTCAGGTGTTTTTAACCTGGAAGTTGGGTGTAGAATTTTTCCAAAAGCAAAAATTTTATTCTTTTCCATTAAGAGCCAGTGATTCTACTACAGCTTTCCCATGACTTAAGTAAGAGAATTAACCGCTTACAGTCCCCCGTCTGCGTGCAGTGAGCAAATAAACAGGGCTTTAGGGACAGAGATAAGAATTGCTAACTGATCGTTGTATTTTCCAACCGTCTCTCTCTCTTTGTGTTTCAAAGAGCAGATTAACTGGGAAAATGTTCTATATCTGCATGGCTCTCTTGAAAAGGGCCTTTTTTTTAAAAAAATATTCTTATCACCTCTTCCAGGAAAGGGAGGAGGAGGAGGAGGAGGAGAAAAAAACGATAATACTGAAGTAATTAATGATTCGTCATGGGGCAGCTGATTCTCAACATCGTGAGAATCGTGGTTAAGACGCACTCAGTCCTTAACATGGTTTAACAATGTTAGAAAAGAGGGTTTTCTATGCTTCAAAGACCTTCTTCCCGTCGGCTCCACATTCTTCTCATCACCTTGCGGGATTTCTGTAGGTATTCCTCAGCCCCGAGTTGCTTTCCCGGATGATTCCTAGGATGCGTCAGTCCCAAAATCAATAGCGCTTCGAAGCTGGCGCATCCGTGCTGTGGAATTCAAGACAGTTGTGTGTGCAAACTGGGGGGGGGGGGGGGTCAGGAATGGAAATATGAAACATCTGGAAAGGCTGCAACTTCCCCAGTTCTTCCCAAAGGCGCCCTTCCCCTCTTTGGTCTCTCTGCTGAAAGTCAAGATTTGGGGTGGTTTGCTCCTGCTTGAATAAAGGCCTTATAGAAGTCGGGGAAATCCATTGTGGTCACCAGATCTTCAGAAGACCCATTCCATCTCTGATTTGGCCATGCTCTCTGGGGCAGTTTGGGAAGAATATAATTTCTACCCACAATAGCCTGTCTCAAGAAGAGTGTCTTCTAGATAGCTTGGACTTCAAATCCCAGAATTCCTAGCTTGGATGGACATGCTAGAGATGGAGCGAATGGAAATACAACACATGGTAATACCTTTGTGTATTAAGGGGCAGCTTATACTCTTTAATGGGGAGGTAGTGGCTCAGTGGCTAAGACACTGAGCTTGTCAGTCGAAAGGTCGGCAGTTCAGCGGTTCGAATCCCTAGTGCCGCGTAACGGGGTGAGCTCCCGTGACTTGTCCCAGCTTCTGCCAACCTAGCAGTTCGAAAGCATGTAAAAAAATGCAAGTAGAAAAACAGGGACCACCTTTGGTGGGAAGGGAACAGTGTTCCGTGCGCCTTTGGCGTTGAGTCATGCCGGCCACATGACCATGGAGACGTCTTCGGACAGCGCTGGCTCTTCGGCTTTGAAACGGAGATGAGCACCGCCCCCTAGAGTCGGGAACGACTAGCACATATGTGCAAGGGGAACTTTTACCTTTATACCCTTTAATAACACAGTCAGAAAAGGGTTGATTTGTCTGCACCATAGACTAGCAAGGTTCTCCTCTTCCAATGACCAATTTAGGCTAGACTTCATATTTTTGATTTAGTCTTTATCCTAATTGGCTCTGCAATCATAGGGACTAGCTTCCTTTGGGCTACTTTGGTACCTGTCCTCTTATAGATTAATCCCTGGGTATGGTGGAGGATGAGGGATGAACTGTCACCTAAATTCTTCTCCAGTGTTCATAGTGCATCACAGGAGGTGCAAATGGAATATGAGTTTTTCTCAAGATTGCCTCATCAAGAATTGGGTCCTTCCTTCCTTCCTTCCATTTTTTCTTCCTTCCATTTTCCTTCCTTCCTTCTTTCCTTCCTTCCTTCCTTCCTTTTTTCTTCCATTTTCCTTCCTTCCTTCTTTCCATTTTCCTTCCTTGCTTTCTTCCTCCTTTTTTCCTTTCCTTCCTTCCTTTTTTCTTCCTTCCTTCCTTCCTTCCTCCTTCCTTCCTTCCTTCCTTCCTTCCTTCCATTTTCTTCCATTTTCCTTCCTTCCTTCTTTCCATTTCCTTCCTTCCTTCCTTCCTTTCCGTCCTTCCTTCCTCCTTTCTTTCCTTCCTTCTTTCATTTTTCTTCCTTCTATTTTCCTTCTTTCCTTCCTTCCATTTTTCTTCCATTTTCCTTCCTTCCTTCTTTCCATTTTCCTTCCTTGCTTTCTTCCTCTTTTTTCCTTCCTTCCTTCTTTCCATTTTTTCTTCCTTCCATTTTCCTTCCTTCCTCCTTCCTTCCTTCCTTCCTTCCTTCCTTCCTTCCTTCCTTCCATTTTCCTTCCTTCCTTCCTTCCTTCCTTCCTTCCTTCCTTCCTTCCTCCTTTTCTTCCATTTTCCTTCCTTCCTTCTTTCCTTCCTTCCTTCCTTCCATTTTCTTCCATTTTCCTTCCTTCCTTCTTTCCATTTTCCTTCCTTCCTTCCTCCCTCCCTCCCTCCCTTCTTTCCTCCTTCCTTCTTTTCATTTTTTCTTCCTTCCATTTTCTTCCTTTCTTCCTTTCTTCCTCACTCACTCACTCCTCCCTCCCTCCCTCTCCTCTTTTAGAAGTTGCTTTGCAGGTAACAAAAAAATGAGAAAAACTTTCTCAAGACCCCTCCCCCCTTCTGTAAAGAAAGAGAAAGTGCGTGGGAGGGGAAGGGGAAGGGGAAGGGGAAGGGTAGAGGCCAGGGCACATCAAAGTTTGCCCTGACACAAATTCTTCCTGAAGAGTAATTTCTCCACATTTTGCTACTTAGTAAGATCTCACCAGGATCTTCCTCCAACCTCCTCCTCCCACAAGGACCTTTGTTCTTGGCTCTAAAAGACAGAAGTCACCTCCTGGTTAAGTCCAAAAACGGAATCCCAAACGTCGTATCCGAACTCACTTTCGCCTTAATGGGTGTGTCCTCAGGCACTTTGTCCTTCGTCGCAAATCAACTTCTGGCCAGAGGTTAAGGCCATAAAAAAAGTAAAGGGAACAACTCAGTGCTTAAAGAGTTACTACAGGACGTTTTCATGCGAGACTGAAGAACAAGGAAAAGAGGAAGAAAAACCAACCATGTGATTCCTTATGAGGAGTTCAGATGAACAGACTTCAGGAAGGGACCTTGTAGGTCATCTAGTCCAACCTGCATCACCCAGGCAGGAGACCCTACACCATTTCTGACAGAGGGCAGTCCAGTCTCTACTCAAAAGCTTCCAGTGATGAAGCTCCCACAACTTCTGAAGGCAACTTCTGTTCCACCAAGATCTAGAGCAGAGGCAGTGGTGGGACTCAAATAATTTAACAACCGGTTCTCTTACCCTAATGATTTCTTCCAACAACCAGTTCACCAAACTGCTCAGAAGGTTAACAACCGGTTCTCCCGGAGTGGAGCGAACCGGCTGAATCCCATCACTTGAGGGCTAGCCCCATAACTGACAAGGGAGGCTTCTGGGAACTTGACCCCTTTGAACTGAAGGAACCAGAAGAAGCATGCAGATTTGGGGTTGGGCTGCATAAGCCTATTGCCCAAGAGTGGTTTATGGTTTTCCCGATTCCCAGAGTCCAGCCCAGCTATCTTGGCTTCTGGTTGCGGTTACTGCAACATGTGACTCAAGTTAATTAGGCAGATATACCTCCAGGCGACTCCCATGTCCTAAACTGTCTGATGTCCCAACTTTTTTTAAAGAGAACACAAGATATGGGAGCCATGCAGAGGGTTTTTTTTTTTTAAAAAAATATTTCATTTTTAAAATGAAACTTTTGAAGTTTTGCTTGTGAAGCCGACTGCAAAGGGGAGAAAAATGCTGTGATCTAAGCAGATCTGAAAGTCGAAGATGCAATTTTGGAAGAAGCCTGGAGGCTGGGGGGGAGGAGGAGGAGAGGAGGAGGAGGAGGAGGAGAAGGAGGGATCTCCCTATCAGCCAGTTGAGTTTTCTCAACGGGGATGGTGTGGCAAAGGAAGCATGAGAACAGGGGGAAAATGGGAAGATTAAAAAAAAATGGCTCAGCCTGGAAAGAGAGACAATTTGCAAAGTTCCAGCGGCTCTTTTGATGCCAAACGTGGGAAGAACATCAGAGCAACCTCGCTTTTCTTGAAGGAAAGGCCCTCCCCGCCCCACTTCTCTCCCCCACCCCCCACTCTTCCTCTTCCACGTCTGGAAGTCCCCATTTGTGCAAAAAACGAGCCATCCGGGATCCCATTCCTCTTTCCCAGACTCTCCACAAGCTGCATCGCGGGGACTCAAACCCAACTGGCGCGAGTTGCCTTCCCACAACCTGGCAAATTCAGGGTTTATCGTTCCTGGGGCGAAGTCGAGAGACCCAAGCTAAGACACTGAGCTTGTCGATCAGAAAGCTTGTCGGCAGTTCGGGGGTTCGAATCCCTAGTACTGGTTTCCTGTGTGAGCAGAGGGTTGGACTAGATGACCTCTAAAGTCCCTTCCAACTCTGTTACTGTCTCTTGTCTCTCTGACCTCCCCCCCATACACACCCCCAAAGCCCAAACAGAAGAAGAAACCACCTTTTAGTCCCGGCCGGGGTGCTTTGCAGCCAAGCTAGTCTCTTTTCAGCCTAAGCCTACCTCGCAGGGTTGTTAGGAGCATCGCACGCAGGAGGAGAAAAACGACCCCGCCCGGATCCCTCTTCCTGGATGAAAAGCTAAAACTGAACCAAGCAGCTTTATTTTTCCCCTTTACCGGGGAGTAAAAGGCTTCCTCGCCACGGGGAGAGGCTCAGAGGAAGGGGAGGTAACCCCACTTCTTCCCGCTGGCTCCCCGTTACTTGAATGGGACCCCTCCAATTCCTCCCTCTTCCTCCCCCCCCAGGGCGTCTGGGACCCCCCCTCCAGCCCCCCCCTTTCCCAACCCCCGCCCCTTGCCTTTTCTAGGTGGCTCAGTGGCTAAGACGCTGAGTTCGAATCCCTAGTATACCGTGAGCAGCGGGGTGGACTAGATGACCTCCGAGGAGGACCCTTCCAACTCCGTTGCTGTTTACCTGCTTGAAGTCGGCAGCCAGGGTGACGAGGGTCCCGTCGCTCTTGCGGAGCTCCAGGCTGACGCTGTCGGCGCCGCTGTCCGCCTGCAGGCTCTCCTCCGTCACCTGCCCGTCGGGGAGCCGCACTCGAACCCGCAGCTCCGTCGGCGCCCCCGCCGCCCCGCTCAGCCCCAGCAGCAGCCAGCAGAGGAACGGGGCGACCAGCCGACCCTCCCCGCCGCCGACCCGAGAGAGCATCCCCGGCCGGAGCTCACCACAAGGCGGCTCTGGGCAGCCAGAGGACGGGACTCGAACGCTGCTCCTCCGGCCGCCGCAGCTTAGAGGGGAGGGGGAAAAAAAAAACTTTTCCCAAAGTTTCTGGCTTGCCGGCGAGGCTGGGCAGGAGGGAAGGCGGGCCGCTCTGGGGACCCGCCCGGGCTGCGGAGGAGACCCGCCTCCTTCGGCTCCCAGCTGCGGGGCTCCCCCCCCTCCGCTCCCCTTCTAGGGACGCCCCTGGCCCCCTTTCCCCGCTTCTCCCCTTAAGGAGCGCAGCCCTTAAAACAGTAGGCGACCCTCGGCTGGGTCGGAGAGAGGTGGGAGCTGCAAGGGGGTCGCCCCGGAGCTGGAGAAAATACCCGCCCTCGCCTCTTGGGGAGGAGGGAGAGGAGGGGAGAGCAGAGTTGGGAAGGGAGGGGTGGGGAGGGGAGGGGGGCTTCCCACGTGGCGCTCAGCCTGCGTGGAGCTTGGGGTGGGGGTCTTTTCTTTTTTTTTTTTGGCAGGGTGGGCTTGCTTTCACCAGGCACCAGGCGCTCTGCGTCCCGGTTTTTTGTCTTGCCAGCCTGCGTGGCTGGAAAAGTTGGGGTGGGTGGGGGGGTGGGGGGGGAAAGGATGGGGAGGGGAGGGGCGGTGGTGTGAACTGTAGGAAACGGGCGGAGCGTGGACGCCCCCCACCCCCCAGGAAGGGAGAAGAGATCCCTTTCTCTTTCATTCAAGCCATTCTGGGTCTGTTCCTCCCTTCTTCTTTTTTTTAGTGGGGAGTGGGATTCCCGCTGGCTAACCGGAAGCAGGAGAGAGAGAGAGGCGGGGGTCCGTTTGTTTCTCCGGGAACCGTAAGAAACAGAAGTTGACAAAACTTCAACTTAGGACCAGTTTGGCTCCCGGGGGGAAAAAAAAAGAAAAAGAAAGAAAAAGGAGTGAGGTGAACTAGGAAAAGCCCCTGGTTGAATTGTCCCCAATTTGGATGGGGGGGCGGATGCTCCCAATGGGGAAGCCGTTGGTTTGTCTTGGAGACCAGGCTAGGTGGCTCGGTGGCTAAGACGCTGAGCTTGTGGATCAGAAAAGTTGGCAGTTCGGTGGTTCGAAGCCCTAATGCAGGTCTCCTGCGGGAGCAAGGGGCACTGGTGAAATCTAAAATTTGTTACTATCGATTCTGTGGGCGTGGCTTGGTGTATGTGGAGAGGAGGGAGAGGAGGGGTGGGGTGGCCAATTTTTATTTTTTTAATTTTAAAACCATTTTTTCTACATTTTCTACATTTTTCTACATGTGTAAAAAAATGCTTTCAAAAGGCTCTGACAATCCCAGCTGAGTTGCCTGATCGGCAGAGGCTTTTTTTTCTTTTAAACGCCTCTGACGATCCCAGCTGAGTTGCCTGATCGGCAGAGGCTTTTTTTTCTTTTAAACGCCTCTGACGATCCCAGCTGAGTTGCCTGATCGGCAGACTCTGACGATCCAAGTTGAGTTGCCTGATCGGCAGAGGCTTTTTTTCTTTTAAATGCTTCTGACGATCCCAGCTGAGTTGCCTGATCGGCAGAGGCTTTTTTTCTTTTAAATGCTTCTGACGATCCAAGTTGAGTTGCCTGATCGGCAGAGGCTTTTTTTCTTTTAAATGCTTCTGACGATCCAAGCTGAGTTGTCTGATCGGCAGAGGCTTTTTTTCTTTTAAATGCTTCTGACGATCCCAGGTGAGTTGCCTGATCGGCAGAGGCTTTTTTTTCTTTTAAATGCTTCTGACGATCCAAGCTGAGTTGCCTGATCGGCAGAGGCTTTTTTTTTCTTTTAAATGCCTCTGACGATCCAAGCTGAGTTGCCTGATCGGCAGAGGCTTTTTTTCTTTTAAATGCTTCTGACGATCCCAGCTGAGTTGCCTGATGGGCAGAGGCTTTTTTTTCTTTTAAATGCCTCTGACGATCCCAGCTGAGTTGCCTGATCGACAGAGGCTTTTTTTCTTTTAAATGCCTCTGACGATCCCAGCTGAGTTGCCTGATCGGCAGAGGCTTTTTTTCTTTTAAATGCTTCTGACGATCCAAGTTGAGTTGCCTGATCGGCAGAGGCTTTTTTTCTTTTAAATGCTTCTGACGATCCAAGCTGAGTTGTCTGATCGGCAGAGGCTTTTTTTCTTTTAAATGCTTCTGACGATCCCAGGTGAGTTGCCTGATCGGCAGAGGCTTTTTTTTCTTTTAAATGCTTCTGACGATCCAAGCTGAGTTGCCTGATCGGCAGAGGCTTTTTTTCTTTTAAATGCCTCTGACGATCCAAGCTGAGTTGCCTGATCGGCAGAGGCTTTTTTTCTTTTAAATGCTTCTGACGATCCCAGGTGAGTTGCCTGATCGGCAGAGGCTTTTTTTCTTTTAAATGCTTCTGACGATCCAAGTTGAGTTGCCTGATCGGCAGAGGCTTTTTTTCTTTTAAATGCTTCTGACGATCCCAGGTGAGTTGCCTGATCGGCAGAGGCTTTTTTTCTTTTAAATGCTTCTGACGATCCAAGTTGAGTTGCCTGATCGGCAGAGGCTTTTTTTCTTTTAAATGCTTCTGACGATCCAAGCTGAGTTGTCTGATCGGCAGAGGCTTTTTTTTCTTTTAAATGCTTCTGACGATCCAAGTTGAGTTGCCTGATCGGCAGAGGCTTTTTTTCTTTTAAATGCTTCTGACGATCCAAGCTGAGTTGTCTGATCGGCAGAGGCTTTTTTTCTTTTAAATGCCTCTGACGATCCCAGGTGAGTTGCCTGATCGGCAGAGGCTTTTTTTTCTTTTAAATGCCTCTGACGATCCAAGCTGAGTTGCCTGATCGACAGAGGCTTTTTTTCTTTTAAATGCCTCTGACGATCCCAGCTGAGTTGCCTGATCGGCAGAGGCTTTTTTTCTTTTAAATGCTTCTGACGATCCAAGTTGAGTTGCTGATCGGCAGAGGCTTTTTTTCTTTTAAATGCTTCTGACGATCCAAGCTGAGTTGTCTGATCGGCAGAGGCTTTTTTTCTTTTAAATGCTTCTGACGATCCCAGGTGAGTTGCCTGATCGGCAGAGGCTTTTTTTTCTTTTAAATGCTTCTGACGATCCAAGCTGAGTTGCCTGATCGGCAGAGGCTTTTTTTCTTTTAAATGCCTCTGACGATCCAAGCTGAGTTGCCTGATCGGCAGAGGCTTTTTTTCTTTTAAATGCTTCTGACGATCCCAGGTGAGTTGCCTGATCGGCAGAGGCTTTTTTTCTTTTAAATGCTTCTGACGATCCAAGTTGGGTTGCCTGATCGGCAGAGGCTTTTTTTCTTTTAAATGCTTCTGACGATCCAGGTGAGTTGCCTGATCGGCAGAGGCTTTTTTTCTTTTAAATGCTTCTGACGATCCAAGTTGAGTTGCCTGATCGGCAGAGGCTTTTTTTCTTTTAAATGCTTCTGACGATCCAAGCTGAGTTGTCTGATCGGCAGAGGCTTTTTTTTCTTTTAAATGCTTCTGACGATCCAAGTTGAGTTGCCTGATCGGCAGAGGCTTTTTTTTTTTTAAATGCTTCTGACGATCCAAGCTGAGTTGTCTGATCGGCAGAGGCTTTTTTTCTTTTAAATGCCTCTGACGATCCCAGGTGAGTTGCCTGATCGGCAGAGGCTTTTTTTTCTTTTAAATGCCTCTGACGATCCAAGTTGAGTTGCCTGATCGGCAGAGGCTTTTTTTCTTTTAAATGCCTCTGACGATCCCAGGTGAGTTGCCTGATCGGCAGAGGCTTTTTTTTCTTTTAAATGCCTCTGACAATCCAAGCTGAGTTGCCTGATCGGCAGAGGCTTTTTTTCTTTTAAATGCCTCTGACGATCCCAGCTGAGTTGCCTGATCGGCAGAGGCTTTTTTTCTTTTAAATGCCTCTGACGATCCCAGCTGAGTTGCCTGATGGGCAGAGGCTTTTTTTTCTTTTAAATGCCTCTCTGCCGATCAGGCAACTCAGCTGGGATCGTCAGAGCCTTTTGAAAGCATTTTTTTTACAACCTCTTCCAGGTTGTAAGAAAAAATGCTTTTAAAAGCCTTTGACGATCCCAGATCCGAGGCGAACATCAGAGGCTTTTTTTTTTAACTTTTAAAAGCATTTTTTCGTCGGAAGAGGTTGTAGAAAAAATGCTTTTAAAAGTAAAAACAAAAAAAAAAGTCTCTGATGATCCTGCGACTCAGCTGAGCATGGTGGAGGGTGTGTGTGTGTGTGCAGGGATTTTTGCTACCGATTCTCCGAACCACCCGCCGTCATCACTACCGGATCGGGCGATCCGGTCCCAACCAGGAGCATTTCACGCCCTGCTTGATTGTTGTTGTGTTTTTTTGCAGACGTTTCCTGACCCAACTAGGTCACATCATCAGGGCTAAGAGGAATGAGCTTTCAGCTTGAGATTTCTCTCGCTGCTTCCAAGAAGTGCTTGAGGGACAAATCCTGCTTTCTGCAGAGAACAGGAAGAGGGATGCTTCTGGGAGCCCAAACGACCTTGTTCCTTGACACCCTTTTCAAACTTGGTTAGCATTTGATAGAAGGTTTGATAGTATTCCTCTCAAACCAGAATGCTGGTTGGGTGATGGGCTCTGCTCTCGCGACCATCTAGAATGGCCTTAATCTGACTTTTGGTGCTGGGTTGAGATCAGTGGTGAAATCCAAATTTTTTTTCCTACCAGTTCTGTGGGCGTGGCTTGGTGGGCATGGCAGGGGAAGGATACTGTAAAATCTCCATTCCTTCCCCACTCCAGTGGAAGGTTACTGCAAAATCCCCATTTCCTCCCGATCAGCTGGGACTCGGGAGGCAGAGAGTAGATGGGGGCGGGGCCAGTCAGAATTTTTACTACCGGTTCTCGGAACTACTCAAAATTTCCACTACCGGTTCTCCAGAATTGGTCAGAACCTGCTGAAACCCACTTCTGATTCAAAGTAACAGTCAAGTTATTCTCTCTATCTACTGGGTGAACAGACTTGAGTTATGGTGCGAACCCAGTAAGAAAGGATCAATTTAGCAGCTAAGTTAAGCATGTTTAGGAACAAAATTTCTGAAATGATGGATTATTTCCCTTCCGGCTCTCGGTTACACAAACATCAAGGCAACCACGATCAGCTGGGACTCGGGAGGCAGAGAATAGATGGGGGCGGGGCCAGTCAGAATTTTTACTACCGGTTCTCCGAACTACTCAAAATTTCCGCTACTAGTCAGTGGTGGGTTTCAAAAATTTTTTACTACCGGTTCTGTGGGTGTGGCTTGGTGGGCGTGGCATGGCTTGGTGGGCGTGGCAAGGGAAGGATACTGCAAAATCTCCATTCCTTCCATACTCCGGGGGAAGGTTACTGCAAAATCCCCGTTTCCTCCCGATCAGCTGGGACTCGGGAGGCAGAGAATAGATGGGGACCGGGCCACTCAGAATTTTTACTACTGGTTCTCCGAACTACTCAAAATTTCTGCAGCCGGTTCTTCAGAACCTGCTGAAACCCAGCTCTGACTCCGGCCCACCTCAAGTTTTCTCCTCTTGAAATGAAATTTCCTAGATTTCAGCTGGCTTCCAGAGCAACACCCCCAACTGAGCACCCCCTACTCTCTTCTCCCTCTGGATGGTATCCTTGGAGACCTTATCAGCCTTGTGTGTGTATCTGGATGATTCAAACCAGAACTTGAGATTGTCTCCTTTCATGCTTTTCCCAGGCTCTTCTCAGCAGGCCACCTACAGATAGCGCATGGCGTCCAATGGCTGCTTTGCTGGAGAACATGTGGCCTGGAATCTCCTTGCTGTATTATGTTTTGGGGGAGTCCCCCCCATCTCAACATCTGGATCCAACTAGCAGCAGCCAATGCGGTTGTGACTGGAAGGGAGGGGGCTGCTTTCCTTCGTCCTGGCATCCAACAAGGTAAATGCCTTTCCAGCTTCTAGGAGACCAAGATGGGCTCTGTGGCAGATGCTTTTATGGCTGCCGGGGAGGGCAAAACAAGAGGAGGTGGGGGGAAATACATTTTTTTGGGGGGGTCACCCAAAATGCAGATGACACGCAATAGAGAAACAGTGCATTTTGCTCTGGTTATTCCAGCCAAATCACACATCACACATTTATAACCAGCTGTGAAGGGGGTGCCTTGAGCCACAATGGCAGTTTTGAATGCCACCATCCATGAAGTTAGCTAGTTTGGTCTAGTTGTTAAGGCACCAGGCTAGAAGCCAGGAGTTGGTGAGTTCTAGTGCCAGTTTAGGCATGAAAGCCAGCTGGGTGACTTTGGGCCAATCACCAGGAGATGGGGAGTTCTAGTCCTGTTTTAGCCATGAAAGCCGTCTGGGTGACTGTGGATCAATCACCAGGAGATGGTGAGTTCTAGTTCTGCCTTCGGCTTTGAGCCAATCACCAGGAGACGGTGAATTCTAGTTCTGCCTTAGCCATGAAAGCCAGCTGGGTGACTTTGGGCCAATCACCAAGAGACGGTGAGTTCTAGTGCCACCTTAGGCATGAAAGCCAGCTGGGTGACTTTTGGCCAATCACCAGGAGACGGGGAGCTCTAGTCCTGTCTTAGCCATGAAAGCCATCTGCGTGACTCTGGATCAATCAGGAGACGGTGACTTCTAGTTCTGCCTTAGGCTTTGAGCCAATCACCAGGAGAAGTGAATTCTAGTTCTGCTTTAGGTACAAAAGCCAGCAGGGTGACTTTGGGCCAATCATTGCTGCCCTGGAAGGTGGGAGTGGGGCTTTTTATGAGTTTTTATTATAGGGTGGATTATAATTATAATATATTACATTTTTAATGTTGTAAGCCACCCAGAATCAGCGATGTGTGAGTTGGACGTCTGTATAAATTTGTTTAATAAAAATAAACAATTGGTGCTTACAACGAATACATTCCATTCCATTCCATTCCATTCTGCAACAAGATTTCATTTTAATGCATGCCGATTAGTGTACATTCCAAGCAGTGATGGGATTCAAAATTTTTTACTACCGGTTCTGTGGGTGTGGTGTGGCTCGGTGGGTGTGGCTTGGCTCGGTGGGCGTGGCAGGGAAAGGATACCGTAAAATCTCCATTCCCACTCCAGGGGAAGGTTACTGCAAAATCCCCATTTCCTCCCGATCAGCTATGACTTGGGAGGCAGAGAATAGATGGGGGCTGGGCCAGTCAGAACTTTTACTACCAGTTCTCCGAACTACTCAAAATTTCCACTACCGGTTCTCCGAACTACTCAAAATTTCCACTACCAGTTCTCCAGAACTACTCAAAATTTCCGCTACCAGTTCTCCAAACTACTCAAAATTTCCACTACCGGTTCTCCGAACTACTCAAAATTTCCACTACCGGTTCTCCGAACTACTCAAAATTTCCACTATTGGTTCTCCAGAACTACTCAAAATTTCCACTACCGGTTCTCCAAACTACTCAAAATTTCCACTACCAGTTCTCCAGAACTACTCAAAATTTCCGCTACCGGTTCTCCGAACTACTCAAAATTTCCACTACCGGTTCTCCAGAACTACTCAAAATATCCGCTACCGGTTCTCCAAACTACTCAAAATTTCCACTACCGGTTCTCCGAACTACTCAAAATTTCCACTATCAGTTCTCCAGAACTACTCAAAATTTCCACTACCGGTTCTCCGAACTACTCAAAATTTCCACTACCGGTTCTCCGAACTACTCAAAATTTCCACTACGGTTCTCCGAACTACTCAAAATTTCCACTACCGGTTCTCCGAACTGGTCAAAACCTGCTGAAACCCACCTCTGATTCAAAGTAACAGTAAAGTTATTCTCTCTATCTACCGGGTGAACAGACTTGAGTTATGGTGCAAACCCAGTAAGAAAGGATCAATTTAGCAGCTGAGTTAAGCATGTTTAGGAACAAAAATCTGTGAAATGATGGATTATTTCCCTTCCAGCTCTCGGTTACACAAACACATCAAGGCCACCACGATGAGCAACTCACAATCTACTCTCACCTTTGAGCCAGCTCATCTCCCATTTATTTTTGCTCTTGGTGGGGCCCCAAGAATTCTCCCAGGGGAAAACAATTTGCAAATATTTAAACGGCTTTTTCTAACCCAGCAGCCTGCAAACTATCCAACCGTTGCTTGTTGCAAAACCTTTTTCCAGACGGAGAAGCAGTGAGGCGTTGCAGCCGGGGATCAAGAACAGAAATGCGTCCATTGCAACCCTCACGAAGAAGCCGTAATCTCCCTGAGCTAGCAGGGGAAAAAAATGGTTATAAATGGATGTTGGCATCCTGGGTTGGTCTTGGCTACGAGCTCGTGATTTGCAGATTGACCGTTTTGGCACCGGCATCTAATCTATGCCCCAACGTTTATCTGAGAGGCGCAACAGCCCACGATGGAATCATCATCTGTCACTGAAAAGGGAGGGGAGAGGGGACGTTTGTCTCCCAGGATTCAGGACCGGCTGTAACTAGTCTCAGTGCTGGTGTTGTAACTTTGAACAGTCGCTAAATGAATGGTGTAAGTCAAGGACTATGATTGAAATCCTCCGTCCCTCCCTCTGTCCCTCCCTCCCTTCTATTTTTTTTTCTTTCCTTCCTTCCTTCCTTTCCTTCCTTCCTTCCTTCCTTCCTTCCTTCCTTCCTTCCTTTTCATTTCCTCCCCCCCCCCCTTCCTCCCTTCCTCCCTTCTTTTCCTTCCTTCCTTCCTTCTTTCCTTCCTTCCTTCCTTTCTTCCTTCCTCCCTTCCTCCCTTCTTTTCCTTCCTTCCTTCCTCCCTCCCTCCCTCTCTCCCTCCTCCTTCCGCCTCCCTCCCTCCCTCCCTCCTTCCTTCCTTTCATTTTCCCTCCCTCCCTTCCCTCCCTCCATTCCTTCCTTCCTTCCTTCCTTCCTTCCTTCCTCTCTTCTTTTCCTTCCTTCCTTCCTTCCTTCCTCCCTCCCCCCTCCTCCTCCTCCTTCCTTCCTTCCTTCCTTTCATTTTCCCTCCTTCCCTCCCTCCCCTCCCTTCATTCTTTCCTTCCTTCCTTTCTTCCTTCCTTCCTCCCTCCCTTCTTTTCCTCCCTCCCTCCTCCTCCTTCCTTCCTTCCAGTTTCCTTCTCTCCCTTCCTTCCTTCCCTCCCTCCCTCCCTCCCTTCCCTTCCCTTCCCTTCCCTTCCCTCCCCAGCCACTCCAGCCCAGGTTGCTCTGCAGATCTTTCGGCTGAGCTCGGCAGGGTTAAGTTTTCTGCGAGTGGGCGGCCCTCCCTCTGCTTCACTTCCAGCTGGACCTTCTGCTTTCCCCGCCTGGTCCCAGATCTGAGTCCCCGTTTCCCCCTCCAGCGCATCCCCACCCCTCCCGCCTCCTCCAGGTTATCCACTCTGCCCAGCGAGTGCTTCCAAGACCCGATCCGGGTAGCGATGACACACAAACAACCTCAAATCAAACAGGGAGGCAAGCAGGGGTGTCCTTGCGCCTCTCGGCTGGCTTTGGACCTCTGCCCATCTCTCGGATTTGCCAGGGGCACATGCTGATGCTCTGGCAGATGTTTCTCCTCCCCCCCACCCCAAACCACAGCAGCCTCCTTTTCTCTTCTGCATCCGAAGCCCTGAGGACGAGCCCTGGATCTTGGCCAGTACACCACGCGCTTGCCCCATTACTCCTCACCGGCCAGCTTGGCGGCTCGTGGCCCTCGCTCTGCTTCTGCCTCGGCTGCTGCTGATGTGGCAGTTCAGAGCTGGCGCCCGGAGGCCACTTCGCTGCCATTCGCTCGGCCCGCGTGCCAAGTCTCCCATCCAGGGCCTGATCAAAATATAAGGCAGGGCAGAAAAGCACCAGCAGCCAGGATCTCCCCATCTGCTCCCTCCACCCCGCTGAGCCGAAAGCTAGGAATAACAACATTTTGCAACAATATTTTTCTCTCTGGTTATTATTTTTTTTTCCCCTCCCTCTCCCAAAGTTCATAACACAGCGGGGGAGTGCATGAACTGTTCTAATTTTCTCTGCTGGTTTCCCAAGATATGCCTGCCTCAAATCAGTATTCGTTCTTTGGCCATTCTCCGTAGCAAACCAAAATGGACGTTCCTCCTTTGGTAACTCAGAAGCCATCTTAAAACCCGGCTGATAGAATAACACAGTTGAAAGGAACCCTGGAGGTCTTCTAGCCCAACCCCTGCTTAAGCAGGAAACCGTATATTTATTTATTTAATTTGTTCGATTTATATGCCGCCCTTCTCCGGAGACTCAGGGCGGCTTACAATGTGTTAAGCAATAGCCTTCGTACTTTTGTATATATACCTGCTTAGTAGGGCTTTCGGCCCCCCGTAAGCGGTGTTCTTTTTTATACAAAGTCACCTTATTGCCCCCACAATCCGGGTCCTCATTTTACCTACCTCGGAAGGATGGAAGGCTGAGTCAACCTTGAGCCTGGTGAGATTCGAACTCGCAGTAATTGCAGGCAGCTGGTGCTACTTAACAGCGCTTTAGTCTGCTGTGCCACCAAGGCTCTTGGTATACCAGTGATGGCTAACCTTTTCGGCAGTGAATGCTGAAAGTGTGCATGTGTGCATGCACGCACACACCCATAATGCAATGTGCATGCACCCTGGTGCATGCCCATGTGGACCCCCCCCCACATGCACCCAGCCCCCACACATGCGCGGCAGAGACCCGAAAACCAGCTGGCTGGCGGGGGAGGTACGCAAGCATGCACGATGGAGCTGAGCTGGGCAACGGCTTACGTGCCTGCAGAGAGGGCACGTGTGCCATAGGTTCCCATCACAAGGTTATACCATTTCAGAGAAGTGGTTGTCCAATCTCTTCTTAAAAATCTCAACTAAAATATACGATGAACGGTTGCAGGAACTGGGCCTGGATAGTCTAGTGAAGAGAAGGACCAGGAGAGACATGATAGCAGTCTTCCAATATTTGAGGGGCTGCCACAGAGACGAGGAAGGGGGTCAAGCT